AAAAAGCACAGGGTAAGTCATACCTCCATGACCAACTCAAATCCTTCCCGCTTCTTCATTTCCTTCACCAAGTACCTTCAAACAGAAGTGAGGAATCACAGGTGGAGGAGGAAAGGCAGAGATACAAAAGAAAACAGACCCAGAGGATGAGCAGGAGAGGCAATGAGAACAGGAAAGGGGTGCAGACAAAAGACCCAGGGGAGGAAAACTCAACCCGCTCCCCACTCCTACCGGGCAAGGGTAAAGGCCTGGTCGATACGCCGCTCCAGCCCTTGCCCGCCCTGTGCCTTCCACATGAGCCACAACTTCAGACAGTCCACACGGCGGCCACACTGCACCACCTTGTCTCCCGTGTCCAGGGCCACATCATAGAACTTGTCCTGCTGGAAGAGGTAGCTGGCCTGGGACCCGTGGCAGCGCTTGAGCAGGTTCTGTGGGCAGGCGGGAGGCTGTAAGACTCCACCCTCTCCACCCAGGTTTCCTCCAGCGCTGTACATATTAGAGAATTTCTTAGCTCAGTCCACCCATTTCTTTCCCTAGAACCAGGCAGCACTGATAGGATGGCTGCTGGCTGACTCAGGCCCCTTTCACTGGGTTTTTTCCTAACACCTAGAGTTCTTTCCAAAAACCCAAACCAGGATTCCTTCAATTACAACTTCAAGCTGTAAAGGTTTTCCTTTGCGGGAAGACAGGTCACAGGGGGAGTGAGGGAGCCCACTACAGGGAGTCAGGTGGTCGCAGATATTCAGCTAAAGATTCCCATCTTGGTAAGGTCAGGCCCCCACCTCCAAAAGGTGGGATAAAAAAAAAAAAGACAGAGGTCCAGGGTGAAAGGTGAGGCCAGGCCAGGGGAAGACCCACCGAGGTATCCCGGAGAAGAAGAGCTGAGCACTGCAGGCCTGCTGTGAGGAGTTTGTGGGGATTCCAGGTCACGGAGTCAGCCCTGGGTGGGCACAAAAAATCTGGGTCAGCTGGCTCTTCCTTAAGCTGCCCAACCAAGTCCCCCCTCCCTTTC